AACCCCGGAGTGCAAGCTCGAGATCCCCGCGAGACCCCCGGGTTCGCGCCTCCCGCGACTGCCCCGCGCGCTTGTAGGGACTCCCGTCCGTGTGGACCAAGTGCATCTTGACCGGAGCATCGGCGTGTAAGCGCATGCGCTCGATATGGCCGGTGAAGCTGGACCGGTCGGTGCCGATGAATACCTGGCGGCCTCTCTCTCGCATGGCTGCGCAACTGCAAACGAGACATCGGCGGGTTTGAGTATTTTGCTCTGGCGATCGATTCCACATGGCAACGCATAGCCCAATAGACACTGTCCTGCGATGTCATCCTGACTATGATCGTTGTCATTTTGTTCCTGAATCTTCTGCGGAAGCGCTCTCTTGCGTTCTCACTGCGAGTGCATGGTCGACAAAGGTGGGAATTGGGAGCAGTGGAGGACAATAGTGGCACGGAGGAGAAGCAGGTCGGAAGGAAGATCAGCAGCAGGAGGCGGGGGGGCGAGGAGAAGGGGAGGAGAAGGACGATGACCAGGACAAAGAGTATCATTATCCTCCTCAGATGGGGGCGGGGACGGGATTTCAAGGAAAGCGGGACAGGGAGGAGGAGCGCAAGTAGCATGAGATGCAGCAGGTGCCAATCTCATTTACATGCTGCTGGTAGCTTGAGCTGTGCGCAGTAAGTGAACACATGAAGAGGAGGATTTGGGTGGGGATGCAGCACGAAGCACTGCATCATGATCGTGAAGTGGCAGCACGGTGTATTCATGAGCGTGCTCTTGCTCGAACCAGGAAGTGTGCAATGGTGGGAGCCGGCTCGGAGGGGAGAGGGGAGCGGACGAGTGACATGAAGCCAAGGAGATGAAGGTAACTGAGGTAGTGGGGAGCGTATCGAGACAATGATGGCATCCACAAAACCAAGTGGCCAATGTCTGGATCTTGACTCTGTAGGTTGGCGTCCACCCGCCCACAATGGTCTTTGCTGGATCTCCCATTTTCCGACCCGCCTCCGCAAGAGGCTGGGCATGCAGCCGTGGTGGAGAGAGAGGTGGCGGGGAACGAGGCGAAGGAGCAGAAGGTGGGCATGAGGAGGTGGCGGAGAAGGAGAGGTGCAGCCTCCGGGGACATGCTCGGCTCTGCTCGGCGGCAGCAGCAGCAGCGCATCCTTGGATCGCACCCCGACCTGCCTCGGCATGCCATGGCGTGCTGCCGGCTGCCTCGGCCCACCGCTGCACACGATGGCCTGCGGGCCCTTCCGGGCTGGTCCTCGGGCCACCCGCCGCGGAGAGCCGGGACAGCTTCACGAGAGCGCTCCGCCCTGGCCTTCCAGCTGCTCCACCCACGGCTCCCCTGCCTGCGCCGTGCCACCCGTGCGCCGCAGGTGGGCCGCGCTCCAGGGAGCGGGGGCCCGCGGACCCTGGCGCTCCCCAGGGGCCCAGGCCACACCAGGCATGAAATGAGGAGGGCCATCGAGCGAGCTTCGGAGGGATGCGCAAGATTCGATGCAATGCGCACGGCCCAGCAGTGCGCATAGGCTGTCTCGGCCAGACCTGAAGCCCCGGAGGGGCACCAGACACTCGCATTTACCGCTCTCGCCCCTGCGCGCAGCGCGGGCGTCGAGACTTTAGGCCCGCGCGCAGATGGAGTTCCGCCAGCAGCTCCGCGGCCTCGAACACGGGGCGCACGCTCCCAGGGCGCTCGATTCCGCTTCGGCATGGCCCCGACGTCGTCCGAGCGTGCTCCGGCGTCGCCCTTACGCTGGCGAACGCTGGGCTGATCTGAACCTTCCTGGGGGCCTCTGAGGACCTCTGCGGCCTTATCATGAGAACGATTTCGTTCGACCGCCCCTCCTCACCATGCCGTCCATTCGTCCAGATTTCGTCCAGATTTGGTCCAGATTTCGTCCAGATTTCGTCCAGATGTCTTCCAGTTGCCGACCAAATCCGACGAAATCCGCACGATCCCCCCAAGACCGCAAGACATTTTGGGACCCTCTGAAGCTCCCATGAAGGACCACACAACGAGGATCTCACCCTGCAGGCTCCGCAAAGCAAGGGCCACCGCCAGCGCCCACCAGAGTTCCCGACAACGGGCAACCTTGGGCGACGCCACCTGTCGACCAGAAGACGGGCACGTGCATGTGCTCAATGTGGCTGAAGACCAGGCCTGCTTCATTGACTACCTACCAGACCACCCCAACCCAACCCGAAGACCCGAATTTGACCCGAATTTCGGGTGGGGTCGGGTATGGGTTCCATGTGTTTTTTCAATGTTCCCCGAACCCCCCCCCACTAGAAATTGAGTGCAAATGGAGGCCTTCGGGTTGGGTTGGGGTGGTTTGGTGGGTGGTGATTCATAGAGCGGCATGATCGCCTTGATGTACCCGTCGGACAATGCAGAGAGGGCTTGCCGCAGCCGCCGCCGCGCCAGCGATGGGGACAACCGCACTCAACGATGTCGAAGTGGACGGAGCATGGCTGGACCGCGGCGGCGTCCAACTGGCTCGAGGCGATGCCCGACTGGACGTCCAGCCGTGCAATACAGTCGGGGCGTTGACCTAAGGAACCCTAAATAAGGAACGAGGCCCCTTTTTTCCATACGTTGAACTTCGATTTCCTATCGAAAACATAAGGAAAACCTGAGACAAGCTGTGAAACACTAAGGAACGCGGAGCCCCTCCCCAACGAAAAGGGTTCCTTCTTCAGGGCTCCGACTGTATGCTGGATGAGCTGGCACTGCGGGATGAAGCCCTGCTGGACGACGTGGACTTCCTGCCGCGCCACGGTCTTGAACTTGTGATGTCTCGTGGCCGTTAAAATAATTAGGTCTGTCGCTTTTCTTCAGCAGGAGTGATCGGAGCGCCTCTGGATGTCGAAATATTTCCACGCAGTCCTCGAGCTCGTCGCCTTTGAGCATCAGAAGCAGATGGCCATACTTGAAGCCAGGCGCCACCAGGTGGCTGGCAAACATGTGCAGCAACATGGAGGACGAGGACGAGGAGGAAGAGGACGAGGAGAACGAGGAAGAGGAAGAGGACGACGACGAGGAGGCGGACACGGACCCTCCTCATGCATCCTGGCCAAAAGCGTTCGACCTTGGAATACGTGCAGATCAGCTCCTCGACCAGGCCGGTGAGCTTGTACCACCTCTCCGGGCTGAACCGCTTCTTTACCTCCACGAGCACTCCGCCCGTATCCTCCTTGAAGGGGGGGAGGAGGAAGGAGGAGGAAGGAGGAGGAAGTGTTACAGGGCTCTGGAAGGCTCTTGTGAGCGCTAGGGCGGCGCAGTGGAGCGACGGGGGGGGGGCCGGTCTGGAGTGGCCCAGGAGGCACCCAAGATTACCCTGGGGTCTCCAGAGGGGCCCTGGGCATCCGCCAAGGGTCCGGCCCACCCGTGGTCTCCTTGAACAGGTCCGGCCACATGACGAGCTTCACGTTGTGCCGCTCTGCGAACCCAGCGAAGCGCTCCTGGAAGGAACAAGAAGACACAGATACAGCTACTGTTTCGCTGCCAAGGCATGGGCGGGATGACTATGGCGTCGATAAAAGGCCTTCGCGATCAAACAAAACGGACAACATGTCGGAGCGCAACACACGATCGACCTGGGGCCCATGTACCGAGCCCGCGAGGGTTGGCAACGAGCGCGCCCTGGAAGGGAGACCGGAAGCGAGGAGGACCTCTCCTGCGGCGCGAACCGACCAAGACCCCTCCGAAAACTGATCCGGGTAGCGCGGCGGATCCAGCCGTGGCGACGGGGGGTCGGCAGCGGTGTCGGCATCTTTTCGCCCTCGGGGCTCCTGGCGGTCGGTTGCCACGTAGGTGGCAGTGGCGTTATCCATCAGGACCTTCCAGTTGTTGTAGATGTCGTCCGCGGAGCGCTCCGCCTGCTTCTCGGCGAAGTCGCCGTAGCGGGCGTGGGCGGCCACGTACTCGAAGAGGCCGAGGTAGCGGACAACCTTAAAGGGAAATTAGGACACACACATAAATATACACAAATAAAAATAGAACCCATATTTTGCCATATTTTCTGGGTTTTTGTCTTCCCCCCCAATTCCCATATTTTCCCATATTTTCCTGGGAGTCGACAGTTAATTGTGTCTGTGTGTTTCTTTCCCTCCTGAAACCTTAGAGGCGATCTCGAAGGCGTCGCTGTGCCAGACGAAGCCGTGCCTCAAGAGGGCGACTCGGCGGCGCGCCGAGGGGGGAGCGAGAGGGGGCAGGCCCTCAGCGGGCCCTGGGAACGACTGGGCACTTTTATATATATATATATATATATATATATATATATATAAATCTTGTTTGAATGTTTGCTGCCGTTGGCGGCGTCGTTTTTGTTTACGTTCCTGGCGCCGATGTGGTACGGTTGCGGTTCCTCCTGGTTGGGGCCTGGTTGTGATCAGACTTGTTGGTTGTCTGCGAGATCCGAACCGTTGTCGGACTGGTTCCGGCGTTTCTTCGGATCCCCTGGCTGCCCAGGCGACTTCGGAGAACCTCTCTTTGCGGTGTCCGTGAACCGCCTTTTCTATGTATTGTGTTGTTTTTGTCTTCTAAAAAACAAAAACAAGTACTTCTGAACAACGGCCCGGGCACTCTCAGAAGGCGGCGGGGCTTCTCCGAAAGCCTCCGTCCTTCCGAGCAGCTCTCTGTCGATTTGGAGGAGGCTCAGATAGCTTCTCGGGAAGGCCCGAGGCTCTCTGATCCTTCCGAGTAGGCCAGCCCCTCTGCCTTCCCCCCTGGGGTCGGGGCTGAACCTAAACGGTGTTTGTCGTTTTTCGTATTGTTTTCGTTTTGTTTTCGTTTTCCCTCGTTTTGTCGCCAATCCGCCTTGAACGCAAAACGGAATCGAAACGAAAACGGCCCACGACATCGCCAAAACACCTTCTAGGTCCACCTCTGCCCTGGGTATGCCGCGGGAAGAAGCTCATGCAGCGGAGTGTCCGTGCACGGGAGCTCGCGCCCATGAAAGACGCTATGGCCGCGGAAGGGGAAGAGGGCGCACGTTTGCCGGAAAGGCCGGGCACGCGGTGGCAGGGCGGCGAGCGAAGAACGAGCGGCACACAGCAAACTTCAGGCGTTCTGCGCGGGCAACGGGGAGTTCGCGTTCACGCCGCTGTTCTTCGGAAGGGGGGGGGCAGGGGCGGGGGGGAAGGGGAAGGAAGGCACGAAGGGGAGGGCAGGAACGGGGGGGGAGGGGCGAGGCGAGGAGAAACGAACGCGCGAAACATCTCCGGGGGGACGGGCCGATTGGCGGCCGGAGGGAAAGGGCCGTAGCCCTCAAGTTACGTCGATGTTCTTGCCGCCATCTATTTCCTCGTTGACGTGCTTGCTCATTTTCCGCTCGTCCGTTTTCTGGCCGACGCTCTGCAATAATTGTTCGTTGGTGCAACCGTGACATCGTTCAGCTCGTAAGCGGGCTGCTTCACGCAACTTGCCGCTTCTCACCAGGGTTTCGACGATGCCGCCACGGCGGGTCGTCGTCCATGGACGGCCCAAGAGGCCCCACGATCGCTCCAAGACGGCCGAAAACAAAAAACAAAAAAAAATGCCAAAATGGCCCCCACATGGTCCAAGATAGCCCTGAGACGGCCCAAAGAGCCTCCAACATGGCACCAGGATGGCCCCAAGAGGGGGCCCAGAAGGGGAACCCGAACGGAAATTTCGAGCTCTCGGTCCGAAGAGGCGCTCAGGAAGCTCCCAGAGACCCCCAAAAACTCCCCAAGAGGCTCCAGGAAACCCGCAAGAGGCCCAAAGAGACGCCACTGATCCCACCAGGACCCCAAGAAACCCCAAGAGGTTCCAAGAAGCCACCAAGAGGCTCCCCAGGAGCCTCAAAACTGCCTCCCAAAAGGCTCCCGAAAGCCTTCCGAAGAGACCCGAAAAGCACCCATCAGTACTCTGACCCACAAGCCGGATGCGTCTCGAAACTGCTGGAGACCTCTCGAGCCATCCCGGCGCCCTCTGGGACAGTCTACCGGCTCTCCTCGACAGGGTGGGAACCACATCCACAAACATCTCCTCGAGATCATTCCTGCCGGCCCTACCGTTCACCCAGGGCACGAGCACACCGTGCCACCACGGAGCCACGCCTTGCCAAACGGGCCGGCGACATGAGCGAAACGATTAAATGATTTCTTCCGGGTGCAACCGTGACGTCGTTCAGCTCGCGGGCAGGCCGCCTCGCGCAACTGCCGCTTCTCAGCAGGGTCTCGACGATGCCGCGGCGGCGGGTTGTCGCCCATCTCCACTGCGGCGTCCTCCTTGTCAATATTATCCTGCTCGTCCTCTTCCTCATACACCTCGGCGTCGCCATCGAGGTCGTCGCAATCGTCAGTCTCCTTTGTGTGACCTCATTTCTCATATTTTGGCCCGCGATATCATCCTCGGCGAAGCCGTACAAATCGATGCACTTCTTGAAGATGGCGAACGGTTTGCCGCCCGTTCCGGTTTTCAGCGGCGGCGCTCCCACATCGGATTGCGCGGCGAGTGGCCGACCGGGCATCAGCTGTGAGATCTCCGCACCGGGCTCCGCAAAGTCTTCCAGCGAGACGCAACAGTTCGATGCTTCGACGTTGTCAACTCTCTGCGTGATGCTTGCGTCACACGAGCAAAAGTCAGAGATGACGATCTTGTCTTTCACTATCTTTGCAACGTTTTCGATGGCCATGACCTGGAACGTAGACGTTTTCAGCTTCTCCAATATTGCGAGTAGGCGGTCGTGAATGCTAGCCTCGCTCCGTCTCCTTCTCGATGCCGTCGCAGTCTCTGGCTCGTCCATCGGTTCGCTTTCCGCCGCGGGCGGGACACGGGCAGGAAACTTCTGCCTCGGGCACCTTGGACCTAAATGGGCGCGGGGGGGGGGGAAGAAAGGGGGGGTGCATGAGACTGCGAGACTAACTCGAGGTCAAGCCTCGCTCGGCACGACGGGCGCAAAACCAGCAGCTAATCCCCCGCGTCAGAAAACCGGAGATCATGCCACTCTGCCTCGAGACGGACGCGCCTCTGCGCGCTGAGATTCGCCATGTCGAACGCGGCGGCAAGGTGCGACCGCGCCCCCCCCCCCGCCGCCGAACACTCTCCGCCCCCGACCTCGGCGCCGTCGAACGACGGCAGCACGTCCGACCAATTGTCGATCAGCGAAGGCGCGCGGACCTGGCCGAGGCGGGCGCTGCGCCTGCCAGGACACTGCAACTTCTTGCGGCGCGCTCTCCGGTTCCTGAGACCCGGGCCCTGGCTGCAGAGACACTGGGCGTCGAGACACACGCCCAAGGAGTGACCATTGTTTCTCCGGGGCGCCCCCCGAACTCGGTGAGATCGGGCGCGCGGGGCCGACGGAGGCGGCGGCGGCACGGCTGGCGGCGGCGGCGGACTCAGCGGGGGGGGGCGAAGGGGGCGAGCGGCGACCTGCCCCTCTCCTGAAGGGCCCGACCTCTTCCCAGGCGCGCGCCCGCAGAATGTGCTCGCCGAGGGGGTCTGCGCGGCCGCCAGTCTCAAACGGCGCGCCCGAGGTGTCGGACAGATTTTCAGGGCGAACAGATTCGGCTGCCCCGAAGGCAGCCCGTGCGCGCGCGCGCCAGCCGCGGGCCGCCAAAGCCAGGGTCTCGATCCCCCTGTTGGGGGGGAACGGCTGCACGGTTTCCCCCGGGGCCGTAGGCGACCCGAGGAGTATGAGGAGGAGGAGGAGGCGGAGGAGGTAGAGGAGGGGGAGGAGGAGGAGGAGGAGGAGGAGGAGGGGGAGGGGGAGGAGCAGGAGGAGGAGGAGGAGGAGGAGGAGGAGGAGCAGGAGGAGGAGGAGGAGGAGGAGGAGGGGGAGGGGGAGGAGCAGGAGGAGGAGGAGGAGGGAGGACGGGTCGCCTAAGCCCTCCGGAGAAACCCTCCAGGAACGGCCTGCTTCGCGCCCTTCCTCGCCCCCCGCGCCAGCCGGGCGACCGCCCCTCAGACGCCGGGCAGAGTCGCCCGGCGCCGACTGCAAGGCAGCAGGGGCTCCGATCTCGTGGGCGAGGGCGCGCCCCCCGATGCGCCATCGCCAATGTCCTTGGGCGCCCGAGTTATCCGGGGTAACTCGGGTCCGGGGCAACTCGGGTTTGGATTCCCGGAAAGGAACCCGAGAAAGCCCTGGCCCGAGTTACCCCTGATGATTCGGGGCTCCGGACGCCCGAGTTATCCGGGGTAACTCGGGCCCGGGGTAACTCGGGATTGGATTCCCGAAAAAGGAACCCGAATTATCCCTGACCCGAGTTACCCCTGATGATTCGGGGCTCTGAGGTCCCCCGAGAAGCTTCCGGCGGCGGGCGGGGCCCGGGGCGCTCGCAAGAGCCAGCGCGGCAATGCTAGAGCCAAGACAATCCGAGTAAACCACGAGGTGGCCCTCCGAAGTCCATTCCGAGAGACCTGGGGAACGCCGCCCCGCGCCGTCTGCGCGGGGGCCGGGCGAGGGGAAACAAGTCCGCAGACAGCTCCTTGAAGCTTCGCCTCGAACCAGCCCGCTCGACTGAGGCCTGTAGGCACTGGCAATGCTGATCGTGTCCCTGATGTCCGAAGCATCTGCGTCTCTAGATCGCCCATTATCCGAAAAGCTTCGCCTTCCTCCTAATGGGATCAATATGGGGGGCGCGGCGCGCGCCCCGCCCACCAAAGGCAGCCTCTTGAAACAGACGGGGGAACACTCCAGCCCGCCGCCGCCCCCGCCAATCTCCGAACATGCCGGGGCCGGGGCGCGGCCCCGGGGAAGGAGCGAGAGGGGGCCAGGGAAGAGGCAGCGACAGAACTGCTCCGCGCGCAACTGTCCGCGCGCGCCCCTGAGTCTGGCGGCGGCCTCCTGAAGGAACGCTGGGGGCTCTTCCCTTCTGAGCCCGGCCAGGCAGAGGAACTCGTGGAGTCGGTGAAGCAGCGCCCTGCTGGCCCATCCACAAGAGGCAGCGCGTGTTGTCCATGTTCCTACCGCGATCGAACAAACGTGCTCGGGGCCAGTTACCGACACCGGCCAGGGGCCTCGACGCATTTTCGCGGCGGGGCGCACAGGTGCCCCGGGGGGGCCCTGCCAAGATGCTCGCGCAAGGGGTCCCAACGCAGGGGGGGGGCGCCCAGGCGCCGGACATGCGACTCACTGCGCGCAGATCAGAGGCGCCCAGGGAGGCACCCCGAACGCGCTCGCAACCACGCCATGAGTCAATTCAAGGACGGAGTACTTTTCCTCCTGCACCACAACTGAGAAGGCCGTCGGCGCGACGACGCCGAGAAGGGCCATGCGCAAAAACATGGCATCTGCAGGGTCGACGCACAGGGCCCAGGGGCGGGGCCAAGAAAGGGGCCGACCGGCGCCCCAGCGGGCCCCCGCGTGCCCCCGCCAAGGGGGGGGCCGAGATGGCCGCGAGAACGCAGTGCTTCATGGCCCCGCCGAACGAACCGCAAACGGATCCCTAAGGGCCCCTTCCATGGCGCTGCGCGGAATGTCGGGCCGACAAAAACGCCAGCAGGGCGGGGCGATTTTCGGATCCGAGGACAAACGCTCGCGGGCTCGCAAGCCATGCCGCTTCTGGCCCGACCCCTGTCGCGGCCGAGCCCCGAATCGCCGCGGCCGCGGGGGGGGGGGGGCCTCGCGATGGCGCTGCCCTGCGCCCCAGCCTCTCTGCTGGGATACCTTGCCGGCAGCGCAGAGATCTTTCTCGGGGCGCTCGCCCCCCCCCCCCCGACCGCCGAGCGGGCCCGCCATTCGAGTCCGAGCCTGGATCGCGCGCCCCTACCAGGCGCCCCCCCTTCTCAAGGCCCCATATTGACGAGAAACAAGATGCGAGCTCCCTGCTTCTAAGCAAGAACCCAGTCTTGCCCCAATTGACATTGCGACGCTTTGCTCGCAGGCCCCGGGCCATCGCCGTCGCGGCGCCAGGAGACTGAGCGGCCGCGAGGGCCCTGGATCCCACGATCTGGAATGAACACATCAGCCACGAGATTCTGAAACCGAACGAAATGAGGGCGCCTCTGAAGCTCCGCGAGTAGCGCATGCACAAGCAACTCGGCAAACGCCAAATCACAGCTGCAGCCCGCTGCCACGGCCCCGTCGGCAGCAATCGGCAGCGAGACGGCCCCCCCCCAGACTGCGCGCGCGCCGCGGAAGCCTATGCGCCACGCAGAGACGCAGCGTCGGAGCCCGAGGATACCCCAGCATCCTGCTTGAGCCCCCCGCGCGACGCGCATTCGTTGTATTTACTGGGGCCCAGCGCGCCACCGGCGGCATTGAGGACTTTCGAGCGCGCAGCGCTGCTATTGATTGCGAACGTGCCCTGGTCTATCATAAGTGAACCCTCGGCCCCCCCCCAACGGGCCTGGGTCGGCAAGCGAACGCCCCGGCCGACGCGCTTGACCTCCAGCGGCTCGGCCGCCGTCTGGAAGCCCGCGCCGCGGCCTCGCCAGCGACTCGGACTCCGCCCGGCAAGATGATAAAACTCCACCAGGTAGGCTTCCGCGCCCCGAAACAACTCAGCACGCGCCTCGCCGAGATCCGACGGGGGCGCCTCTCCGACCGCCCGCGACCGCGACGGGGCTTCCCGAGGGGGCGGGCCTCTAGGGCGGAGGCGTCTCAATGGGGGACAGTGCACATCGGGAACTGAGGCATGCGGCTTGAAGCCTTCATTCCTAAGCCCCTGAACTTCGCGACGAGGGCGCCGCGCGTCTGCGCAGGAGCGGCGGATGGCAGATTGACCGGACCGACGCACCCGCTGAGCACAGAGCTGCAGACCCCGAAATCAACCCCCGCGCTCCGCAGGCGGGCAGCCAGGATCCGAGCGCCCTGCCTCCGGCCATTCGACGCCAGACGGCGACGTGTTCCAGTCACCCAGCGCCGCCCACGGGCCTCTGAGTGCACCGCGATGCGCGACGAGGGAGCCGAGGATGTCGACATCGGCCTTGGTCAGGCCGATGGATGCGGCGAGGCGAAGCGAGAGAACGCGCGGAGGCGTCGGCGGCCCGGCGATGACCCTGGCAGCGACAACCAGACAGCTGGCGACGGAGACCAGACAGAGACGCCCCCCGCAGAGTTGAAGACACCTTCCCCTATGCTGAGCGCCTTGCCACCGTTCATGCGCACCCCCCGTTGCAAGGCCCAGCGACGAGCCGAGCTCCACAGACCATCCCGCGTGATCCTGTGCTCCTGAACGCACAAGCAATGCGACAACTGAGCTCCTTGGTGGCCGTCGTGCTTCATCCGCTCCAACAGAGACTGGCACGGATGCCATTGCGACACATTCGGCGAGATGAGGAGAAACTGCTGCAAAAAAACACTGCCGATTGACTGCCTTGAGCCGGCTACCGCCATCCATTGCCGCCAGCTTTTGCGCCGCGGCTGACCCGCCGCGCGCAGTTTCATCCCTCCCGACTCCCCGCGGGACTTGCCTTGCCGCGTGCCTCGCGGGCTCCGGCCGCGAGGCAGGGGGGGGCCTGAGTTGAAGGGCCCAAGGGCGCCACTGGGTTGCCGCCGCCACGCGCGCCCCTGCCAGCCCCAGGCTGCATGTGGTCACCCTCGCCGTAGCCGTTTGGCTGTGGCTCCAAGGATGTCGAAGAAACAGATGAGCAAATCCCTGTCCTCGGGCGCTGCGACACCTGCTGCGGTGGAAGCCGCCGCCGTTCCCTGGTCGTCGGCGTCGGATTCTATCTCTGTGCCCGCTGGGTCGACGTTGGTGCCGTCAGCACTTTCTGGGGGACAGCCCCCGCTGTCTGCGGACCAAAAAACCAAAAGACCCACCAGCCGCGCCAGCAGCACCAGAAAGGACAGGGCAAACAGGAGGCCTGTTGGTGGCCAGCACCATGGCCTTGCGCTCAACCAAGTTGGCGCTGCCCGCAGAAGTCT